CTAAATTAACATAATACAAAACCAAGAACCCAATTCACAAACCGTATAAAATAAAAAGAAATGTTGACCAAACTGTAATATATAAATAAAACAGTAGCTAAACTCAAATGAACAAAATAATAAAAATGGTGATCAAAATAAAATGACAGAAAACAAATGAGCCAAAATTGAAACAAATAAAAAGATTAATTGGTGATCATTCTGTAAAAATGCGCTTAAATTTAGGGGGTTTAATTAGTAAATAGTCCATTAAGTAATAACACATGTACAAAAACGGTAAATGACATGAATGATCCCTCTCTTGGGACTGGAATACAAAACACAGAACAAATACGGGGGACCTAAAGCATGAATAAACCATTATAAACCCTATATATCACACTTTCATTTCTTTTTTATTTTATTTTAAACCTAAATACTAAAAAAACTTAAACTCTCCTCTCAACTCTTCCTCTCCCTCGGGCGAGAACCCTCAGTGCCGCTGCAACCCCATCGCTCCGGCCACCACACATGGTGGTCGAAGCCCTAAAATTGACTTGAAAATCCTCCTTGTCTTCCGATCTACACCCCTAGCACTAAACCTCGTACCAAAAACCCAAAAAAACCTTAGATATGCTTGAAAAAAAGCCCAACCTTTCGAAAAAGTCGTGCTCCGACGAGACACCTCTTTTTTTCAGGTAACTGCTAGACTCCTCTCTATCTACTTATTTTCGTTATTTGCTGGTTAGTTGGTTGATTAGAACGAAATAAGCTTGTTTATATTTTATTTGTTATTTCGAACACATATTAGCGTTACCATACTTAAAAAAATAAAAAAACATATTATATATATTTGAACATGTATGAGTTTTTTAGAAAAATTATCAGTAAAAGAAAACAATATATAATATATGTTATATTCGAAAAAATAGTATATAATATATCTTATATTTGAAATAAAAAGTAAATAAAATACATTCGAACAATAAAAGATAGTGAGTAATAGGTAACCTTCGAAATCTTATTCCTTGAAGATGAGTTCACAGTGTGTTGTTTTCCAGGATTTTTCCCATCCCCTGTTACAGATTGTTTGTTTGGGTTAAATACCCAGTTACAATAGAATAAAAAAAAACCTCCACTTTTTTGTGTTATGTCTTTCCATGTGAGTGAGGCGTTGGTGACCGTGTTGGAGCAGCAATGTATGGGCGTGGAGCTCACTTGGAATCTGTGAGGTATGGGTTGTTGGGGAGCCGAGCTGCACGTGGGATATAGGGTTAGTGGGTGTTGTGCATTGGTGTGCAACAACAAGGTTGGAAATGGTGAAGGTATGGGCATCTTGGTTGGAAATGGGCGTGAAATAAAATAAAATGGTGCTCACAGCTTTCAAAATGATCCAGCCTGCGCCAACCAACGTTGTAATTTTGGAGGTACCAAAGCCTTAAATATAATAAAGCTTTGAATTTTGAGACCACGAAATGAAAGATAGGGGTATAATAATGTTGAAGTGGTTGAATTATGGGAGTCTGGCTCAGTAGTGAAAACTACTCACTTAGTGGACCGAAGGAGAAACAATAGGCCAAAGACCATGTGCGTGCTAAGTCCTAACATCATTTAGTGGACCACTTTGATGACAAAAAAAATGGTACACTTGATACGCCAATAACAACCTCTAATGTGATTGAAAAATCAAAAGTTAGTTAGGTGCATGAACTTTATTTTATGATTTTTTTGGGATAAAATATTGGTGCTTACAATATGTCTGATAATACATTTCATATAGCACCGTCAACAATATTTTACATATGTAGAGTTTTAACCATATAATCATAGGCCACCAACGGAATTAAATTTTCATTGGATCCACATCCTTGTTTCTATCAATTACATATAAACAGTGGCAGAATTTGATGATAGAATTTGGGGGGGGGGGCAACTTAAAATTTTGAAAAAAAATTAAAGGTTTAAATAAAATTTTTAAATTTTTTGAATGGTTTAGTTTATATTTTCCCCCTAAAATTTTAGGGTCTAAGTAATTTTTTTTAATTTAAAGAGGTTTAATGAGAACTTTTAAAAATTATGGGAGATGGTTTAATTAAGAACATTGAAAAAATTAAAGTTTAATCTAAATTTTTAAAAATTTAGAGGAGGCTAAATTAAAGTTTTTAAAAATTTTAAGATACTAAATTATAATTTTTAAATTTTGAAGGGCCATAGCCCTACTAATCTCTCTTGCGTTCAGGCACTATATATAAAGTTAAATATTATTCTAATTAAGGGTGTGCAAAATAATATCATCCAATTGATCCGATCCGATCCTAAAATTTAGATATACAATCTATTTTTAATTTTAAACTAATACGAATCGAATATTCAAAATAAATTTCGGATATTCAAATCGGATAAGGATAGTTCAAATGTTGATTTAGGATTATCCGAAAATTCGGGGGAAAAATAAGCCTTTAAGTGTGCGTTTGGTTCACGAAATATAAGATTACCAGTGGGAATAAAAGATTATCATGGAATAGGATTACTTGGAATGTTGTATTTTGTGTTTGGTTGGTTTAGCAGGAATGTAAGATTAGTTTGGTTAAAGGAATAAAATATTATTGAAATGTATATTTGACCAAATTGTTCTTATTATATATATATTTTTTAACAAGTTGGAAAATAATAATATATTTTCTTTAAAAAATTAAATTTATACAATTTTTTTACAAAATTAAAAATATAAAAAGGTTTAATGAAAGGGTAAAATTTTATTTTAATCTCTGAACTTCATATAAAATTTTAATTATAGATTTTTTTTGTAAATCTAAAATAGTTTAAGGATAAATTTGTAATTTAACATTCGTATAATTTTTATTATTCAATGACAGAATAAGAATATTTTTGAAAGAAATTTTTTTAAGGGCATTTTAATCCAAAACGCCGGTAATCCAACAATACCTAAGGAAATGGAGGTAATGACATTCCCGGTAATATACCCAAAAAAATCCACTATTGGTAATGTAAGATTACCGAGAATGACATTTCCGGCCAATCAAACGGGAGAATGTGAATTTTATTCTCATGGTAATCTCGCATTCCTCCAACCAAACACACCCTAAAATATATTACAAACAGTGTTTCTAGTCCAATAGCTAATTAATCCAATAACCAGCCGGCTAGTTCTATTAACAAAACTATCTTAACCCATTATTTTAATTTCCCAAAAGTCCCAAATCAATTGCTCCAGTTCCACGACAGGGAGGGATACTCATCTCCCCCAAAACCCTATGCCATATGTGTTTCAATCCGAGGTAAGTTTAGATGATTTGTGATTTTAGGCTGGCTTTATGCCTTTTTTTTTTGCCTTTACCTTCCAAGCCCTAAAAGAATATATAAAGCAGGGAAAAAGAAGAGAAAACATTATTGAGAAACATTTTGTGAAGAGTTTTTACTTCTGTTCTTCATAGTTTGTGGAAATGACAATTACTACTTGCTTTTATCGTTTTCGAATTTATCAGACATCATTAGCAATTTGAAAGTTCTAATAATAATCCAATATTCGGTGCCTTTGATAGAATTTTCTTGTAGTTACTGCTTTAAACTTTTCGATCAATTTTACATATATAATAAAAATATAAAATATATTGTATAAAGTTGCATAATGTTAAATTTAAATCTTAAATTTTTGTTAAATTAAACTTTATATTTAGATTCGGATATTAGTGTATCCAATCTAAAAATTCGAATATTCAAACATAAGAATATCCCTTTTTTTGGAATAAGATACGGTCCACGATTTTAATAATTTAAATTTTTGGATATTTAAATTTTTGGAGCGGATAATATCCAATATAAAAAAATGCACACTCCAGTTTTAATGGTCCGTAATGATCTTGTTGTAATGATATTGTTGGATACAAAAAGCAATAGATGTATTTTGAATTGTTTTACATTCTCATGGAACAGCCATATTAGAATCTGAGTTACATTTCCACTATTTGCTTATTTCTTTGTAAAACAAAGATTCACTTTTTGGGGTAGTTTTGTTATATGACAGTCGTTATCGAAAATATTAATTTTTTTTTAATATTTTTAGTATAATGTTATCTAAAATGTTATTTTTTTTATCGGAATGTTAATTTCATTACTTAAAATGAATATTTTTGATATTAATATTTTCAATAAAAAAATAACATTTTAGATAACGCTTTACCGAAAATATTAAAAAAGTATTAACATTTTCGATAATATTTTTTCTTAATCTTATATTAGGTTGTCTTTCCTTAAACATCCTCACTTTTCATTTTTCAGTGACTTCTTCAAGAACCAAAAACCAAATAATATAATAATAAACATATTTTTTTTTATAATATCACAATTACCTTTTCGATCTACATCAATGAGTCAGAAAGCGGATGTACGCCTATATTAACGTGGTACGTGATCTTTCTAAAATTCAAAATTTTTTAATTATTGATTTATTTTATTGATTGTAATTACCTATAATTTTATTTGTACCCACTTATATAAAAAATTGTGTGATTAATATATATATATACATATTCATCCTTAAAAATATTTATGTATCTACCACTACAATAAATTCTACAACGCCTTCAAAAAAGCCCTTGTACCTCTATTCTCTATTGATATTGATGTGAATAAAAGGATTTAATATTAAAACGAATGGAAGCTCAAAGTTGATGTCTCGATGTTTCAACGACAACATCAACTTTGACGGTTTTTACACAATTTAAAATAATAATAAAAACACTTTTGGGTGTTACCCGGAGAGAAAATATGAAAAAGTTGAAAAAAGATATTTCCTTAAATTGTGTAAATAAATGGAGCCTGAACTGCTGGGGAAAAATCCTGAATCGTGATGGGTAAAATATCAAGTACTTGAAATGCAATTATACCACCGATTGAACCCTAGTGAATGACGTCATCAGCAATTGAAAATGAAAATTTAACTTTCATCATTGCCAGAAACAAAGTTGCTAAACATTACTATTCTTTTTTTTCTTTTCAGTCTCTCTTTCAAGTTAAAGCTTCTTTTTTTTTCCTGGTTTTTTTTGCGGGAGAAAACTCGTGTGATGAAGGAGCGATGGATCTGTTGAGTCAGCTGGAAACCATTTTGGAATCTGATCCTCTCATGTGAGTTACTATATTTTGTTTGAAAAATTACATCTTTTTCTAATGAACATATACAGATTTATCATGTTAATTTCTGGATTATATCACTATTTTCATTTTTTTGAATTTGATTTATTTAGAATAATCATTTGTACATTTTCTTAGGATTTTCATTTGTTGAGGCTTTTGGATCATTTCTTTTAATGGAAAGCAATACATTATGCATCTGTTGAAACATATTATTTTTAAGTTAATATTGTCTGTTCTTGAATTCAGTGATGAAGTAGGGCTTATTCACTCATCTCAGTTTGTCACTCTCAACAAAGAGGTTGGTGAATTCGGTAACTCGTCCGTGGATGATGCTTTCAGACCAACAGATACAAAATTTTGGAATAGAGATCATAAGTTGGGGATTTCAACTGAAGTTGTTCTTCCTTTGTGTAAAGCTGCAAAAAGCGCATTCATGGATGCGATGAAGCAATATAAGATGCTTAGCAACTTATCAGATGATAAGCATGAGGATGAGAACATCGTTTATGGCTCTTCATCGTCTTGCCAATATTTCGAACACGAAGTCATGAAGCACAGCAGAGCACTTTTATTGTTAAGCTGTGATTTTGGCACTGCATGGAATGCCAGGTTTTCGTAATTCGGATTTATACCTGTCTTTACTTCTTCCATTAACTTGCAATTTGGATGCAAAAATTGATTACTGGGAAGACGTTGGGAATTGTTATTCATTTTCTGTTTCTTGTATGGCATTGTGAATTGTTTCGTTTGTGATCTTATTGATCCCTATTTGCTTGTAGTTTCACTGTTGATAAATGATTGATATGTCTTGGAAACAGTGTTTTATAACCTAGGGCATGCCGCATCGTTCTTGTTTATCCTGCTGTTGAATTTCAATTCTTTGTTCGTGGGCTAGTTTATTGGTTCTTCAAGTCTCGGTTTAAGCTTAATCTTACCAAGATTCAGGCATAAACTTTGAGAATGACAAATTGAGCTTTGAGATTGTCTTTGGATGAGCATATGCTGAAAGTTTTGAAGTTCCTTATGCTTACTGTTATGGTATAACATTTTAGTTTTATCTTTGATTTATGGTTTTATTTTATCGTGATTGTAGTTTTCGTGTTATGCCATTAGGAAGCTACTTGTGTTGAAGAAGCCGCAGCTGTCAGTGTTTACAGATGAACTTCTTTTGTCCGCTCTTGTTCTCTCTTATTCACCTAAAAGCGAACAAGCTTGGAGCCATAGGCGATGGGTGATCAAGATGATTGCTGAGAAATATCTGAATCTTCAACAAATTGTAGCAAAAGAATCCGGGCTCGTCGAAAAAATAGCTGAGGTTTAATTAGCTTTCTCGAAGTAGATCCTTGATTTCTTTCTTTTTTTCTATCTCAAGAAGTGGTTTACCTGAAAGTTTGACTGCACTAAGCTGTTTGTTTTCCCATGTGGGTCTTAAGTTGATAGCTCATAAATATTCCTATAACTTTGTCGTACTCTTTTCCCTCTTTCATGTAAACCCAGTCTTTATTATTAAGATTTTGGAGTCTTTCTTTTTCTAGTGGACGAAGTCTCATGCTAAAGAAATTATTTGTTTTTATTCATCGACCATCAATGGTTGGACAATGCTTGTGGGTAGAGCCAGACTTGATGCAATTCACATTCTTCAAAATGCAGAGATCAAAAATGAACTATCGAGCCTGGAATCATCGCTGCTGGTTAGTTTCCTATATGACAAGAGAACAGGTTAGATACTTGGATTATACGGAGAAGTGAATAATCAATAGCTGTAGTAACACTGATTTTTCATAGAAGATACAGTATGTGTCTGAATCAAGTTTGATTTTTGGTGTTTAGATGCTCACTGTTGTTACCGATGTAATTGTATAATTTCAGATGCTTCACGAGTTAAAGAGATCCAAAGATTGGGCTGGATTACATGTTGCCGATAATTCATGCTTTCACTATCGTAGAGTAAGTTTCTATTCTTCAATTTAAACATGATTGAACTTCAAAGAATAAAGGGAAAATATAATTTTTTTACCTGGAGGAACTCTGAAATCATCATTAGTTTAATCCCATAAATTCGAGTAATACATTTTTTGCATTCAACTTTGTGTAACTCGATTTGCAGCGGCTAATACTCAGGATTTTAGAGAATAAGCCGAACAAACAAGGTGACAACTTTTCTTATGATGTGGAAAACTATCAAGTCATGAAGGTAATTCTATGGCAGACTCATGCAATATGCACTAGTGATTCTTGCTACTACTTGCTTATTTGACCCTTTTGAAAATTTGTACCGGGCAGGAGGAACTCGAGTTGAATGAAGTTTTAATAAAGCGGTACATTGGGAGAGAGGTACGAAGCTCATCTAGTCTCTTTCCTTCGAATAAAAGAAAACAGTGAAGTGAGTTTGTGCAGTTCTTTGTAATTGCAAATACAGCCTATCTGTGGCAGATGACACCATGGCCTAGTGTTATTTGCGTAGCATCCGATTTCGGTATTCTTTCAATCCACTTTTATCTTTCACAGGCTCTCTGGCTTCATCGTCGTTACCTGTCCCTATGTTGGATACGGCATTTGACAACCATGTGTGGTATTTCATACCATTCTGAGCAGAAAACCAACATGGATAATGAAATCAATATATTTTTTGATAAAGAATTTTGTCTCCTGGATTCCTGCTTGATGATTCAAGATACAGAATTCGAGGATTTCGAAGCACAAGCGATGTGCTCGGCAATTTACTTTGTGTGGCTGATAAAGGTAACACGTTCTTTTAGCTTAAATCATAGTTGAAACTGGTTTTTTTGGGGGGCAAGCTACTAATTGTCTGCATACAACATATCAGAAAATTCCTCAATTTAGGAAGGTCGAAATGCACGAGAAGCTAAAAGTAGGAAACTTGAAGAACATACTACATAAGACATGTTCTGAAAGATCTTTCCTTCGGGATCTTTTGGAAGAGAGGTAATCGGGTGTGATTATCACCTGTACCTGAGTGCTCTTCGTCTACGAAAGGCACTTGCCTTCGCCCTGTGCCTTGCGTCTTCGTCCTGCGCCTTGTGCCTAGGCTTCAGGGACCTTTTGCACCTTGGTCTGCGTTACGCCTTGTAAAACTAAGGTTACAGGTACATGTTCAACACGTACATACAAAATTTGTTTGAGATCTTTTATATATTTAGAGAACCATACCTCCATACTCATCTTCAAATACATATCGGACACAAGTGTTGAACATGATTAAGCCTTATCGACGATGAAGAGTCGGCATAACATAAATCTCTGTGCGACTACTTATTTGGAATCAACTTACATCCTCTAGTTACATGTGAAACAAAATTTGTGATGAATTCAAATTCGACAAGTATTGCTGCAATCATGAGTGATCCCAATGGGAATTGGGAAGGATTTACATGGAATCAACGTGTTGGTACAAGCACGCGTCAGACGAGTGGTCGAGGCCTTAGCTTGAAGTAAATAATGTTTTTTCAGAGTCGTCAAGCATCGGATTATTTTTTGTGTTCTAATGTAGCACTCGTAAATTCGACGTTAAGTAATGATAGGATGTTATAATTATTATTTATTTTAATTTTAAAGTTTAATTTTAAAAAATGTTTAAATTATATTTCTTTTTTCATTTAGGTGTTTAAATTTTTTTGGGGGTCAATATAGGTATTTAATGTTATCATTTTAAGTGTTTCAGCCATAACAGATGTTAAAAAAATCGTTAACTGACGCTTATAATATTTATATTTTTTGAAATTTTTATTTTTTCAAAAAAAATTAAACTATTACTGAAAAATCATTTTTTTTTAAAAAAAATTAAATACTCCAATTCCTCCCTCTTCGCCGTTCATGCGTGAACGTCCAGGAATTGCATCTCTTTTAATTGCCGCTGCAAACAAATTAATTAAAAAAAAAACTCTTAAGCAAGACAATTTAACTCGAAATCTGACTCAAATTGGTTTTTAGATTGGAGTTATGCCCCCCTTAGATACCAAAATCACAAGCCTAACAAAGCAGATATAAAAGTGTCATGTAACAGGCCCAAACATAAGAAAACAAATATAAATTAATTAATAAATTAATTAGTTTATTATAAATATCATTAAATATAATAAAATTATAATTTACCATCTCTTAATAGGGTAAAGTACACGTTTAGTACCTAAATTATATGTTTTGTTTCGTTTTAGTACCCAATCTTCCATTTGTTTCAAAATTATACTTAAACGTTTACTTTTTATTTCATTTTAGTATTCATCTGTTAAAAACTTAACAGAAGTGTTGCTAGTGTTATTTTTACGGATAAATTATATCATTTATCACTTAACTATATTTTCTCTCCTATTTTGGTCACTAAAATTAAAAAAATTCAATTTAACTACTTAACTTTTAAATTATTCATGTTTTAATCACTCTAATTTATTTTATCAATAATTTTGTGACATGGAATTTATTAATATTATTTTATTAATATATAATTAAAATAAAAAATAAATTTGAAAGTTAGAGTGATTAAATTATGAGTAATTTGAAAGTTAAGGAATTAAATAAAAAAATTAAACTTTGATGACCAAACTAAGAGTGAGAAGATATTTGAGTGATTAATGATGTAATATACTTATAAAAAGTGTCATGTTATGCTAAGTTTTTAACAGTAAGGTATCAAAACGAAATAAAAAGTAAACGTTAGGTATTATTTTAAAATAAATAAAAGTTTAGGTACCAAAACGAAATAAAACTGATAGTTTAGATATTACACTTGTAGTTTACCTCTTTTAATATTCTGATTATAATTTTTAAGTGTTACCCAAACGTCTCTAATTTCTTAACTAATCTCCTCTTGAATGGCGTTGATCTCTCTCTTTCAAATTGAGAAAAATATATTTCACTTTCTTTCGTTCTCTCCTCGTAATCTCTCTTGCTATCGTCAAAGATAAGAAACGATTTTTTTATAGCTCTTTCGCTCATTCTATGAAGATATAGAGTTGCGTTTTTAATTTTTAAAAGCAGGTTTTAAATTTCATCTGTGCGGGAGCTGCATTTGGTCTTGCGGAGAAAAGGAAATGGGGACTGTTGTTGTTGGAGATATTGCGTGTTTGGACGCGGAGTTATTGCAGCTCCAGGAGATGTCTCCATTAGCTCTCAAATCCAATCCTGAATTCAGCCAAATGCTTTTCGAACAATGGCTTTCTCTTCCTGTTGCTAATAAGCTGGTACACTTCGTCCCCCCCCCCTGCACTTTTCTTTTAGTTTCGATGCCGAACGGAGTTTTATTTGAATTATTTTGTATTGATTACTCCAAATGAAAATAATTGATCGTTGTTAAGATAAAATTATTCTAATCAATTCATTTCGCTCTTATTTGACGATAAAAATTAGTGATTTTAAGAAAAGTAGTTTGATTTGTATGATAATTAAAGTATACCTGATGCCGATTCATTTAGATTTTATTATTCAGTCCATTATGTGTGTGTCATATACATATGTGAAATCCATATTTCAAGAAGAAATTAAGGTATTTTAATGGATTTGAAAGGAATATTGTGGACCTGCGATTGTTCTTTCTGTAGAAGTCTTGGTTTATTGTCCAACATTGGTCAAGTTTAGAGTTTCCCGTGCGAATTGATTTTAAGTCAGCTTAGTGGTCTTAACAATAACCCGGAATCATGATAAAATCTACATTGCTTTGTATTTAAACATGGAATATTCCCCCTCCCCCGTCAAGTGTCTTTGAAGAACAGGATATGGAATTCATATATTTGTTAAAAATATTCATCAAAGCCTATGACTGGATGTGCACCAATGTTTAATTTTTGTTTCTGTGCTAGGTAACGTTATTGGTTAATGATGAAAAGGCGGGTAATCCCTTGAATGTTCCTGGAAATACTTCATCTGGAAGTACTGCCTCAGGCAATTCTTTACCTTCTATGTTTCCTGCTGGTAGTGGTCCTCCCCTTTCACCAACAAGTACATCTGGTTCCCCCCGAACACTAAAACAAAGGGCTGGTCCTTCAAACTTGGGTTCTCCACTGAATGTAGTTAGCAAGCCTGTGAAAGAATTAATACCACAGGTTAGGATCCTGTTTAATTGATATGTTAGGTTTCTTTCTCAACCGTTGACCTTGGCTGTGTTTTATCTTCTGTATTTGCCTTTCTATTCGGAAGTTGGTGATAACTTGTTGTTTTGATAATTGAAAATGCCTCCAGTTTTATTTTGAAAAAGGTCGTCCACCTCCAAAGGAACTAAAGGAACAATGCTTGTCTCAAATCAGTCAGTTTTTCTCTGGCCACCCAGATGGACTACAACTGTCTGGTAATATACATGTACGCATTGTTGTAACAGACATTTCTGGAATTCATCTGATATTCTTGTTTACCTTATATTTATACATATCAGAGTTCAAACTATTGACCAAGGGAATCTGCAAGCTGCCAACATTTTTCTCCACATCACTTTTCAGAAAAATTGATGTTAATAGCACTGGTTTGGTTACAAGGTATATTTTCTTGTTCATGGAAATGGAGCTATTATGTTGCTACCCAAGATCTATCATATCTTTTGTAACTGCTAGGATGTTTCTTTGAAAATCATGAGAATTCATATTTTGATTCTTTTCTGTTGTGAGGTGCTCTTCATGATGGGTCTTGTTGGAGAATTATGTGTTTTAAATTTAAATTGCTACTGATGGAGTAATGATGATAAGCAGATGAAAATGTTTCTTCTAAGATTCTTAACATTTTAATATTTCTCCTTGTATTTGCATTGCAGCTGTGATATCATTTTCATCTTTTTATGTTGTAGCTTTCATTTAAGTTTGCCTCATTTGCTTGCAGAGATGCATTTATTGATTATTGGGTCAATGGCAACATGTTGCCGATGGACATGGCAACACAAATATATACAATATTGAAGCAACCAGATCTCAATTACCCATTCAGGTCTTTAATCATTTTTGAGAGCTTAAATCAACTGTAATATTGATTACTAGTCTAATAACCGTTCATGTTTAGGCTTAATTTCTTCTATTCTTTCCAATCTGACAGGACGATTTCAAACCTATTCTCCGAGAACTACTGGAAACTCATCCAGGGTTGGAATTCTTAAAGAGAACACCTGAGTTTCAGGAAAGATATGGTTGGTTTTCATCTGTTTGATACCTTTCGCAGTTTTGCACTTCAAATGGACATTTAAGATGTGAGATTTTTTCTCTTTTCAAATCTCACCTGTCCTTATACAATATCTAAGGCATTTGGACACTGATATTGATTTGTTTCTTGAATGTTCATTTAATGCTGGAACCAGTAAGTTATGAACAAAAAGATCCTAAAATGCATCTATTTTCATGTAAATTTCCATGATTGCAGTGCACCCTGTTTCTTTGATGAAGTGGTTCTGTCCCTAATGTGTTTGGCAATGTAGCATATTAACAAGGCAGGAATGCAAGCTAATTCTTTGATGAGTTGAGGTCGAAATTTGCACATCCACTCAGACAGAACGAAAGGTGCAAGGAAAACAGGGTTCATGTTTTTGTTTATTTTGTTGGTTGTCTTTGCTAAGAACGGTTTGCAGTATAGCTTTCACATAAGTATCCGGTTTCAATGGCTTAGCTTTCATATTTTTAAAATGCTTATTTTAGGATGATGAATTCACACAGGAATTCTTTTTAACAAGCCTACTTTTTAGTTTAATGTAAAGTAATCTTATATTCTTCTAATTATATTAGAATGAGTAATTTGTTGACAATTTGATGAGCATAGAGACGTTGCTTTAGGAACATTTTGTGTTATTGAAAATGTAACTAAAATATCTGATTAATTCATGCATTACAGCTTATTCTATATTTGGCTCAACATGTCAGGGGCCTTTTCCCACTCTATATGGTGTTTATTACTGTACAGGCAATTAACACAACTACCATGTGTTTTCATAATTGTTTGGAATGCCATTGATTTCTACCTGAGGTTGCTTGTTTGACATTAGTTTTGTTGCACGTGGCCAGCTGAAACTGTGATATACCGAATATTTTACTACATAAATAGATCCGGGAATGGTCGCCTCACTCTTAGAGAGTTGAAACATGGAAACTTGATTGATGCCATGCTACATGCTGATGAGGAAGATGACATTAATAAAGTTTTGAGGTATATACTTGGCTTGAATCTACTTGAATGCATGGAGTAGGAAACTGATCTTATTTGTTTCCAAATACCACAAAATCCAGAATAAGTTTGCATCCTTAATACATTCTGGTAGATACCTTTTATTATTATTACCATTATTAATGTTATTTTTATCACATTTAAACCTATTCCCCCTTCTTTTGGGAAAAAATATACAGGTACTTTTCTTATGAACA